ACTATGCCTGGCTAATTTTTGTATTTTCAGTAGAGACGGGGTTTCACCATGTTGGCCAGGCTGGTCTCAAACTCATGACCTCAGGTGATCCGAATCGGCCTTCCAAAGTGCTGGGATTACAGGCATGAGCCACCACACCCAGGCTGACATTTCAAATTTTTAAGCAATTACTCTCTAGTAGGAAAACAATACAAAAGTACAGAAGAGAAGTAGAAAAGCTCCCTTCTCCCTTCTCTCGCCCAGGCCCCAGGGCACTGTCTTACCACAGGCTTCACAGTAATACAACACTGAAATCATCATTTGTTTATTGCCTATAATAAAAGTTACACTTGAATCCCAAATTGAAATTACTAACAATTAAAAGGTGAGGTGGAATCAAAGAAAAAAAAAATCCATGGTATGAAAAACCTAGAATGAACCTGTTGTGGATTAAATTGTGTTCCCCCAAAAAGATAAGTTGAAGACTTAACTCTGGTATATGTGAACTTGACCTTATTCAGAAAGTGGGTCTATGCAGACGTGATCAAGTAAAGATTAGGTCAGGTTAGAGGAGGTCAGGCCCTAATCTAATGACTGGCATCTTATGAGAATAGAGGAATTGGGCCACAGAGACTTACACAGAGTTGGGAGACTGGAGTGATATGGCCAAGGGCCAAGGAATGACAGCAGCCAGCAGATACTAAGAGGAAGGAAGAAGGTATCCTCTCCAAGAGCCTCTGGGGGGACAGTGTTTCTGATGATACCTTGATTTTCCAACTCTAGCCTGTAGAACTGTGGGAACAAGTTTCTATTGTTGTAAAACCAGGACACTAATGCAGAACTTAGATTATCCACAGCTGAGGAAAAGGAAGCCGAGGGAGGTTCCTCACTTGCCCATGGTCTCAGGTGTGACACTACAGTGTTTCGGACCCATAATCAGGCCAGGATGCTTCCACCAAACCATGTCATCTCTGGAAGCATGAAGATGGTTCTTCTTAAAAAGTTACTGTAACTAAAACATTGCACCTAAGGAGGAACTGCAATGAAGTGCAAAGACTTTGAGCTGGGCAGACCCAGATTGACAGCCCTGCGCCACCTTGCCTTTGCCAGTGTGGCCCTCTGAGCCTCGGTTATCCCATCTGAAAATTAAGTCATGTTGTGCACATTTTCCAGGACATTGCAAGGATAAAATGAGGTGAGCCACGCAAAGGGTTTCACATGCCCTTTGAGTGCCCAACACTCAATCAGCCAGAAATCAAGGTCAGCTCTTAATCTTATAAACCATTTCTCAGACTCCTGTCCCTCCTTGTTTCAAGCTGATTTCTTGGCTCACCTTTCCTAGTCCTCTGTAACACAGCCTTTGATGAATTCTTTCTCTAAAGCCCAGGAGCTGCCACTTCTCACTCAAAGGAGCTGGTGGCAAACTGGCTTGGACTTTCTTGTTCTTTCAACCTCAGTAATTGTTTTATTTCATTGTCTTAAAGAGTTTACCATTTCAAGTGGTTCCATCAGATTTCTTCTTGCTGGGGCCGCCTCCTTGTTTTCAGCCTCACCTACAGTCAGCTTAATCTGGGGAGCCTGGATGGCTTCTTCCAAAGAACAAACTCTTATTTGCATATGCTCAGTCCATATTTTCAATCCAAGTTTTCCAAAAAATTTCATACTAAGAGGCTGAGAATCAAGGAAATGCACTATGATTAAAATAGGATTTGCCAAAATAATTAGGTGGTCCTTGACATTCAAGTGCTCAGGTATGAGAAGTGTTTTGCAGTCTGCTTTACTCAACTTAGTGGAGATGACAGAAAATCTTTCCGGAAAAAAAAAAAAAAAAAAAAAAAAAAAAGCTTCTTTAAAGCTACTGCAAGATATATAGCCGAAAACCTTTTCCTATCTTCAGTTGGAGATATTGTGTAGCATGAAAGTCTCTTTTTTTAATAATGGAAATTGCTGTAATTATAATCACTTTAGAACACTGTTATTATTATTAATAAGACCAAATTGCACAGTTCAAGCAGATGCTGGTTGAAAGAACTGTTCCGAAGTTCTCCTGTTCGAAAGAGCCCATATAATGGATCAGCCACAGACCTGGTAGTCATCTCCATGCCAACGTGGCCCTGCCCGCCAGCACACGGGTCCTGCAGCTCTCACACAGGCTTCTGGGCACATGCCTGTGACTCCTCACAGAGTCACTGGGCAAACAATGGACCTCCAGTTCCTGATTAAAGCATTCAGGGAACAAAAGCATACTTCTAGCAGTTGACTTTCCCTTAGGAGAGGGGGCGCTGGAGAGCTGTGGTTGCTGCTGACCCTCTCCTCTCAAGGTCTCTCCCATGCACGGATCCAGCTCTTCATTCTGTCGCTCATTCAGCAGTGCCCAAGGAAGCAGGAGATGGGGGAACAGCAGGGAGTGCGGCAGGATCCAGTTGCAGTCATAAAGTTCCTAACACCTTGGGGTATAAGTTCAGGGTTCTCTGGCTAGAAAGGGTAGTTTGAGGCCAATACCAAAGAGATCAGGAGGTATGAGGGGAAGGAAGTCATTATCTGCCTGGTGGTTCAGAATTTGGCTTCTGAAGTTCAGCTCCCTGGGTTCCATTTTTGGCCCTCCCTTTTTCTTGCCCTGGAAAGTCACTCAGTCTCTCCAAGCTTCAGTTTTCCCACCCCCAAATGCATATAAGAACCCTGAGGGGTGGTGGGTGGTGGTGGTGGGTGGTGGAGATTCCTGGGGAAAGCACCCCTAAAGCACATAGCACAGTGCTTGTCACTGAGCTTTCAGACATTGTGTATGACGATTACTTAATTCTTGAAAAACTTGGTTATTTATTGCTTGAATTTACAATTCCATTTTTTCTCTCCACCTAAGCAATTTTTATTTTAAGCTTCGGAGAATCAGCAGAGAATAAATGTATGACTCCTGGCCATTAGTAGAGCAGGAAAGCTCACTCCAGGTTCAGAAGTCACCTCACTGCTGCCCCCTCTTGCTGGCCGACGACACCCTGCTAGTGGTCAGAGACATTTCAGGGCAACACAGGCAGGCAGTTAATCTTAATGCGGTAGTCAGTAAAGCCTGAGTTTACAGTAGGCATTTGCAAAGATTTTGCTATAAAGCGGCTTATTGCTAAATCAAGCCAGGAAGGAGGTATGGGATATTTCATTACCCATCACATGTAAAAGTTAAATCCTTCTCTGTGAAAGCAGCCCTTCCTGGAAACATGCTAATGTTTGAGAAGTAATCTTGAACGAACTGCTGCCTTGGCTATGGTAAAGACAGGAGCCTAGGGGCTCAATACATTTCTATTAATTAAATTAATTAAACCTCATTTTAAAGTAAAGGTCATTGAATTAATTAACAAAGGCAAGCAATTATTTATAAAAGTTTTTTTTTTTTTTTGATTGCCCAAGGTAAGTATTTTTCAGTCCTTCAGGCTTCTTCCTGTCCCCTTTCCTTTGGAGAGAGGGTTTCGGGGCTTAGCACAGCCCTCGGACTACCCAAATTTAGTTTTAGTAGAGACAATTCCCTCACATTAAAGCATACATCTCAAATGGGGAGTCATGCAAAGCCTGTTCCAAAAGATTCTCTGTAGGTCACCGAAGAAGTTCTTCCTCAATATCCTGTGATATTTACAAGGTTCTCAGCACCAGGCGCATGTTCCCACGTGGTGGCTGCACCAAGACCACATCTTAAGGCCGAGTTAAGCTCTCTCAGCTGATGGGATTCCCATTCCCTCCCTCCAACCATCCACTCCCGGAGATGGGAAAGATCATTCACGTGGCTTCCCATGACTTACATGAAAGGCAACTAGAATGAAAGTGTGAGCAGAATACGGTTTTGAAGGGGTCCCCTCCTCCCCCCCGCAAACTAATTAAACAACTACAGAAGTTATTCGGCAGCTTCCTTTTTCAAAAGAATTAGCATGGCATGTCTTTCCTCTTAAAGTCTTGAATAATTTAATGAGAATTATACAAAAAGTCATGAGTATGTTCTATTTATGGGAGAATCATAGCTAAATTAAAACCCAAATGACAATGTTAAAAATAAAAATAAAGTATCTTCAAACTGTGCATTCAATTGAGCAAATGATTTCAAATCCCACTTGCATTAGATACTTTGAAAGTAGGAGGGGGAGCAGATCAATTGGATTTTTTTTTTTTTAATTGAAGATTACTGTGCTTGGGAACATTTGTTTCTTGCTACAAAAATTGTTAGTAAATGAACATCAGAGTAAGAGAAAAGCTGCTTGGTTTTTTATTTTTGTTTTGTAATCGGGATACCACTTGGTCCCCGGACACCTCACTTAGCTCACATTTTTTTTCCCGGTAGCTGGACTGCATTTTACACTTTCTGCACCGCCGCGTGTAGATGCATCGCTCGGTGCAGAGGGGCAGGGCCGCGGGATGAGCAAGGACGCAGCTGCCAAACCAACTCAGAGAAGGGAACGCTGGCGCGGGGGGGAACGCTGCTCCTCGCACGAGCAGCAAGCAAGCCGCTTCAGAACCGGGTTGCTTTTAGCTGAGCTCATGCATAAATCCCTTCTAAAGGGTACTGCGCCTTTGGAAGCCCGCCACGAGCCTCTTTAGCAATGAGACAGCATAGGGGGGTGGGCGGGGGGAGGGAGAGTCTGAAGACGAGGTGATTTTCCCCTGAACAGCCCGTCGCCAGAGGCCCACCGCTCCGTCTCCCGCTGGAAGTAGGTGTCGCCCGCAAGAAGGAAATCACGTTACTGGAGGCGGCAAGTTCCAGGTCTCCTCTCCCGCCCTGCCCCGCGGAGGGGGAGCTCACAAGTTCTGAAACACTCGCGCACACCCCTCCGTGCGCCCCGGGCGGGGGCCGCTGTCCTCCGCGACCCAAGAGCGAGCGCCCCCGCTCCCCCGCCCACCCGAGCCCCTCTGCGTTCCCAGCTCTTCTCTGCGGGGACAGCTGCTGCTTTGGGGCGATGCTAAGCCGCGTGGAGGCTTCTCCGTACGGCCCCCTTCCCCCAACGAGCTCGAAAAACCCGCGGCAGCCGCCAGGGCGTGGGGCTTACCTTCTGCGGGGGGGTCCCGATCAGCATCTCCAGGTAGTAGCCGCGGCCAGAGTCCCCCTGCAGGTTGTCCACCATGGCCAAGAAGTTGGCGGAGCCCGCGGCGGACTCCAGGGCGGGCTCCAGGGCGAGCGCCAGGCCGTCCGCGCGGCGCTCGGCGGGGCTCCCGGGTCCCGAGGTGGGCGCAGCAGCGCGGTTCGTGGCCGTGGCCACGCGGAGGGGCAGCGTGAAGGGCGCGGGGGCCAGCTCCGGGGCGGCGCGCAGGAGCCACTGGGCCAGCAGAGGCAGCAGCAGCGCCCGGGCCAGCGCGCCCATGCCCACGGCGGGGCCCTGGGGGCGCGCCCGGCCCAGTCCGTCCCGTCCCGTCCGGCGGCCGCGGCTCAGCGACTCGACCGGTGCGCGGGGCTGCGGGCAGGGATGGGCGCGCACCGGAACCGGCGGCGGCGGCGGCAGCGGGGAGGACGGGAGGAGGGCCCAGGGGAGGAGGCTCGCTGGCGAGGAGAAGGCGGAGGCCGGGGAGGCGGGCGCGGAGGCGCGGAGGCGCGGAGCCGCCCCAGCCCGTGCCGCCAAGTTGGGCAAGTTCTTCTCCGCTGCCCCCTCTGGCGGCCGCGGCTGCCCCGCAGCGGCCCGGCCCCTCCCCTGCGGCCAAGGTCACAGCTGGGCGCGGGGGCCGCCGTGGTCCACCTGCACCCGCCCTGCGCACCCTCGCCGGGCTGCAGCCGCGCCTCTTCCCCGGGAAACTGGAGTCCCGAATTTCCTCGGAACGCGCCCCGGCGGCCGCGGCCAACGGATGTGACGAGGCTCATCTGATACCAGGGGGGAAAGTTTCGAGAACACTTAAAGGGGCAGCGAGGGCCTCAAGTAGCGCCCCGGCCCCGCGCGCGTGGTTGTACGCGGGGGTCTCCTCGCCCCGCCGCGGCGGCGGGGGCTGCCGGGGCTGACTCGGGGGTGAACGAGGAGAGCCCCAGATCGGGAAGGAGCTGCGAGCCTCCCCTCGCCAAGCGCCTCCGCCTCACTTCAGCTGCCGGGTCCGGCTGCTTTCGAGGCGTTTCCCGAGCGTTGCCCCACCAGCCCCCGCCCCAGGTCCTGCCAGTTCCCCGGCCTCATCCCGCGGCGGCCCCTGGGTGGGTTTAAAGAGGTCTGAGTGGGGGCTGGGAGGGTGGAGGGTGGAAGGAGGCAGGGGGAGGATGCGAGAGCTTTGGAGAATATTCCCTAAAAATCCTGGGGGAGGTGGGGGGCGTGGCTGCTGCTGGCGGCTGACCCCAGCCTGAGTGGCCCCCTTACCCACTCTGTTGCCCGCAGCTGGCTTCGAACCTGGGATTCCCCCGAACCACCTCTACCCTACCCCCGCCCCCTTCATCCCTCCGCAGCGCCCCTGTCCGTAATGCAGGTCAGATCCTGCTGGGACCCGCCCTCTTCCTTCGTTCCGGGGTCTTCAGGCCACCTAGGAAGTTGCTGTCAGGATCCCAAATCAAGGCCGCGAGTCCACCCTGCTGCCATCCCTGCCCCTCTCCCCCACCTCCCCTCCCTTCCCCAGCCAGCTCTCCGCAGACCATCTAATTAATACTCGTTTAGCCATAGACACTAAGACGCAGAAATGCGTTCAGTAATGCAAGCAATGAGGGTTATTTTATTTTAGATGCTAAAGGCAGGGGGGACAATTATACAAGCTAAAGTCCATCGATTTCTACAGAAACAAGGAATAGAAAAATCTTTCTACCTCCTCCAGCTGAATTAGGTTGGCTGTTTTAAAAACAAACAAGCCCATCTTCAAACAGTGGGGAGTTAGCAGCCAAGCTTCCCCAACTCACTGTAATTTTCAGCTACTTCTACTGAAGATTTGATTTTTATTCTTGTGTTCCCAATTTTAGAATCACATCTAGCTCTGCAAGGGACCCTTATGTCAGAGATCTTCAACTGTATTGATTTTCAGATGACTTTAACTATAAATCACACATCCCCCCAAACTATATCTCAACTTTAACAAATCCTCAGCTCCATGAAGACATAGCTGGATCCCATGGTATAACTTAAATTGATATTCTCCATAAATTTGCATAGTTACTCCACAGCCATTCTATTCATATATTCACGTTTCAGATTCAAGGTTGTAGAGGAAGTGTGATTTAAAAAAAAAAATGATTATTAATACTCCTTGGTGTCCAGTCTTGAGGGGTTCAAAAAGACATTCAGACAGCTCTGGGAAGAATAGAATCTTTCTGAAAAGCACATGAAATGTATTAGGGCCATTGGTAAAGAGGCTATGGGACATATAAGTTCAATACTAGAGACATTTGCTCTAATAATTAAAAGCCACAGGGAAATTTTTTAAAAAATCAAGTCTAATTAAGGTTTGTACTTGAAATTCCTGTCTCTGTCTAGAGTGAATATTCCTGAGCTTTTCATTTTAAGAGGGACAGTTTGGGTTTTGGAGGGAAAAGGATGCATAAAGATCCAGGGATGGAGGAGCACAGGGGCCTCCACGGATGGCAGACCTGTCTTGTCAGAATAATGCAAGCTGAAGGGACAGCACTGGGTGACTGTCTCCTGGGTTGTCTCTGTTTCCATGAATGGTTTTAGAGCACGATCCCTATTCAGCATTGCAGTGCTGGGTAGATTTGGGAGACGGTAATTTTACTTTACAGGTGTTTGAACTGAAATGATAAGTGGCAGCCCTCTCATGGAACAGCATTGATTTTTAAATCATATCAGCCTGAATCCACCTTCAAGCACTACCCTGAGAATCCCTTCCCATCGTATGGGTGAGCGATGCAGGGGAGAGAAAGGAAAAGGTGAGGTATACCCTCCCTGACCTCATCCCCAACATCCGAGGACATGGGATACTGCCCTGCTCTTCCTAATGCACCAGAGCCTCCGCCTCCTTCCCTTCTCCTTACAGCCTCCCTTAGCACCTTCGTTCTCAGCCACAGGCTTCCTGAGTCCACCCAGGAAAACAAAAGGCCTGCAACTAGATGGGCCCTCTCTCCTTGGGAAGAACAAATATGACCATTAAGCATGTCCCTGGACAGTGGAAGGTGAAGAAGGATCTCATCCTCCAGCCCAAAGGACTAATGGAGGATTCCTGGTAGGAACGTGTGGCGCTCGGCCAGAGTCACCATCCGTGTTCCACTGGTTTGTTGTCTCACTGCTGTCTCTCACCGAGTTCCTTTTATACCTGCAATTGTAACCGAGCCTATGTTAGATGAATCATAAGGCGTTTGCTGTACTTGTTTTCGTTTATCGTGGTCCTTTGCTTCCTCCTTGCATGCCTGTTTGCATATAGTCCTTTTGGTGGAAGGGAGTCACTTGTCATTAATTAACTTTATATCCTAGCCCCGAGGCTGCCCGGAAGATTAATGAACGTGTTTTTCTTTCAAAGAACAATGATCCTTAGGTCCGGCAGACCTCTTTGATGTCATCCAGAAGTTTGATCAGGCTGGGCCAAGGAATCCAAACAGCTTTGATCATTGGGGTTCTTACCTCCCTGCATACTTACCCTCCCGTAGAGGCCCCAGCTGTGGTCCTGAATTGATTCAGAACTTTCAGTGTATATTTCTGAGGCCTTTAAAAAAAAAAATGATCCTTTAATATAGCTACTGAAAAGTTCTGGAAACAATGAGTATCCTTAGTAACAAATTAGGGTTACTAAATGTCACTTCCCTCCAGAGAGAACCAGGGCTTTTTGGAGAAGGATGATTTCATAAACTGAATAAGATAACCCCAGAATATCTCATCCTACCAGAAAGCAAGGATGTTATCAAAGACTTCTGAGGTCCTGTCATAAGCTGGGGCAAAACTGAGACAATTTAAACATCATTAAAGGCAGAAACTACAATGCCTCAAAACACTTCAATTATGTTGAAATCTATTTGCTCATAATGTTCTTTTAAAAACTACATTGATTATCTTTGAAGAATGCTTAGAAGCCCAACTCACTATTTTTAAAAGCTGGAAAAAAAGGAAAGGAATCAAGCATTTATTACCTTGACTTTTCTGTATAAACTATACCTCAATATAAGCAAATAATTGCTAGAGAGTTTCTCTTTGTAAAAGTATTGCAGCTAATAAATGAAGAAGGGGCAATAGAATTAGAATGTTGCCATTCTGCCTTCCTTAATGAATTAATGGATCTAGACACTGAATGTACGTGGCTGATGAAATATTAGAGAGCGAGGGAAAGAGAAACAGCCTGACATTCTAAGCCTCCTGATGGAAATCCACAATGCTACCAACCTATGACATGTTATAGAGAGAGAAAAAAAAAACAAAAAACCTGAATCTGAACAAGCTTGTACATCACACGTTAGTAATCTGCCTCCTTGGAGCCAAATCTGGCCAACTGCCTGCTTTTATAAATAAAGTTTTATTGAAACACAGCCATACCCATTTGTTTAAGACAGCAACAAAGACTGAATGGCGCACAAAGACTAAAATCCTTGCTATCTAACCCTTTTCAGTGAAAATCTGCCAACCCTTGCTATATAGATCAAAAGAATCCCAGCACCTCTATCAGTCTATTGCAATAGACGGACCTTGTTTGAGTCCTGATTTGAACAAAATGACAAAGTTGTTTGTGAGGCAATTAGAGAAATTTGAACACTGGCTGGGTGATATTATGGAATTATTGTTCATATTTTAGGTGTGATAGTGGTATTCTGTGTGAGAGAGCCCTTATCTAGGGGAGACATATGCTGCCATATTTATGGATGAAATGAGACCGGTTTCAAAATCATGTGGGTTGGCAAGGAGCATTTTAGGCAGTATTCTCAGCTATTTGATACAAATAATGACCCTATCAGCAGGCATTATGCTCATTTTACAGATGAGGAACTGAGGCACAGAATTGATGGTTGGTTGGTGAGAGCTGGGGGTGGTACTCAGAGCCCCAGGTCTGATTTCAGAGCCTGTGTTCTTCATCATTAGCCAGGGGCACCCGTTTGAGGTGACCTTTCTGGAGCTCATGATCTGCCCCAGCTGGAGAGCGCTCCAGAATGCCACCTGCAGAGCCAGGACACAGAAGCTGCAATAGGCCAGTGGAACCCTGCAGGCTGCATCCATCACCAGGCACTAAACAGACATATGCTGAACCATTCCTGTGCCAGGCTCCACGCTAGAGGCAGGCTCACATGGGCAAATAACACCCAGAAAGCCCCTTCCATCAGAAATTACAATTTGGCAGGAGACAGACTGACTGTAAATACATTTCCTTTTTTGGGAACACCACTCTAGCTTCTAGGTGGAGAAGAGTTGGGGGTGGTGAGGCTGGAGACAGGGAGACCGATCGGGAAGCTGCTGCAAGGATCCGTGAGGACAGTGGCGATGGGCGTGGGAGGGGGAATTTAGCATTTAGTGCTTAGGAGATAAAACCTTCACAGCACAGGGAAGAAGCATCATAGGACTCTCATGTGACGGGAGCACTCAACATACAGCCATCTGCATCATAATCTCTCCTGTTTGCATGGTGCTGGTGCTGTTCAATTTTCAGAGCAATATCACAAATCCTGCCTCATTTTGCTCCTCAAGCAGTGGGAGGCAGGGATGGTAGGGATGATAATTTAACGTATAAAAGGAAATTGAGGGACAGGAACACTGAGCTCCCACCACATCCTGGGACTCTTATTCCCTGACACTCCCAGGTAGGCACTGCACTGACATCCCAGAGGAGGACATGGTGGCATAGAGCTGATGACTCTGTGTCTGAAATCACACAGCAAGGAAATGATGAACCCAGATTTGAACCCAATCAGCTCCAGAAGCCTGAGGTTTTTTCCCCCTAACCCATGTTGCCTACTTCAAATGACTAGATACATGTGGGAACAGAGGGAAGTAGGGATTCACCTCGAACTTCCTTTAAAGAACAATCTTTCCTCATGTATTTAAAATAGAGTCCCATTTGCAGAAAGCCGTGCATGCTTTCAGGAGTGTATCACTTGGATAAATAAGGCCCATTATTATGATATTATGTCAGCAAGGTCCCAGCTAGGAAAGGCTCTACCTAGAGAGGCAGATGGCTAAAATCACAGGTTTCCAAATGTCTGTTTACCATCAGCCCTGCTGTTTTAATGAGTGTGGAGATACTCTGTCGAAGGCACACGGGCTCTGAGCCCCAAGATCTGGGGTCAACTTCTGATTCTGCTCAGACCATTGGCAAGTTCTAGGCAATTTTCTGCCCCCTGAGCTTTGGTTTCCTTATTTCCATTTCTATGGCCACCTCCAAGGGCATGTTCTCATAGATTCAATGTGAATGGCCCCTCCTGAAGTTGTGTGTCAGTACTGCTTAGTTGACTCATTGTAGTAGGCTTCCTGTGAGGATGAAATTCTATTCTACAGTCTCTCAATTCTGCTTGTTCCTAGTTTATCCACTCCAAAGCCAGGACACAGATGCCACTGTAGCGTCTTATATTCTCCGTGCCATTGCCATGGCGTGGTGAGGGTAGGCATATTGTTGCAATTCCTGGTGCCATGATGGGAAACCACCTCTCCTGACATTTTAGTGACCAAATGACTAAGGATCAATTGAGAAGGGGTCTAAAACCTTTCTGTTGACAGTTTCTGATGATGTCAGGAGAGCCCCAGCATAAACACTTGCAGGAAGGTATCAGGGGCTGGGGATGTTCTGGAGACCATAGAAAACTGTGTGTGGTGAGGAGGACAGTGTCCCCCAAGGATGTCTGTGTCCTAATCCCCAGAGCTAAGACATAAGGTACCTTACATGGTAAAAGGAACTTTGAAGATGTGATTCAAGGAAGGTTCTTGAGATGGGGAAGTTGTTTTCATTAATCCAGATGCTAGCCCAAGCTAACCAAGTATATCCTTAAAACCAGAAGACCTTCCCAGCTGTGCTCAGAGGGTGCCATAACTGTGGAAGGCTGGTGGATCAGAGAGATCAACATTGCTGGCTTTGTAGCAGGGGTAGGGGCCATGAGCCAAGGAATGCAGCCTGCTCGAGAAGCTAGTAACAGCAAAGAAGCAGACTCCAGAAATGAAAGCAATCCTGTGACCCCTTGACAGCCCAGTGAGGCCTGTGGCAGACCTTGGACCTGGAGAAGCGGAAGACAAGGTTTGCTTTGTTGTTATTGTTGTTGTTGTTGTTTTTGAGATGGAGTCTTGCTCTGTCACCCAGGCTGGAGTACAGCCGCGCTGCCTCGGTTCACTGCAGCCTCCACCTCCCAGGTTCAAGCGATTCTTGTGCCTCAGCCTCCTGAGTAGCTGGGATTACAGGCATGGACCACCACGCCTGGCTAATTTTTAGTAGAGACGGGGTTTCACTATGCTGGTCAGGCTGGTCTCAAATTCTGACCTTATGATCCGCCCACCTTGGCCTCCCAAAGTTCTGAGATTATAGGTGTGAGCCACCACACCCGCTGTTTGCTTTGTTTTAAGCCACGAAGGTTGTGATAATTTGTGAATGCAGTGTATAGGAAACTCATACACTACTCTTAGGAAATTCTCTATCATCTGACATCGTAATGGCACAGAAGATTATATTGCAGGGAAAAACATGGATATTGATGACTCCAAGTCCAAAAGTGATTCAGAAGAGTTAACCTGAGTGTGGAAAGTGTTAGGAATAATTTAACAATTGATTTCACCTACATGTAATGTTTATATAAAAATGTCTAAATAGGGCCCAGCCTTCTTCATATGTACAGAACGAAAATCTTAAATAATAATAAAGTATCATGGTTTAGTGGTAGCATGCCCTTTGAGATGGAGTTTCACTCTTGTTGCCCAGGCCGGAGTGCAATGGTGAGACTTCCACCTCTTGGGTTCAAGTGATTCTCTTGCCTCAGCCTCCCAAGTAGCTGGGATTCCAGGCATGCACCACCAAGCCCAGCTAATTTTGTATTTTTAGTAGAGACAGGGTTTCTCCATGTTGGTCATGCTGGTCTCGAACTCCCGACCTCAGGTGACCCTCCTGCCTTGGCCTCCCAAAGTGCTGGGATTACAGGCGTGAGCCACCACGCCTGGCCCCGTCTAGGGTTTTAAGCCTGTGAACCCCATGGCTATGTGTATCTGTGACTTTTGGGGTGCCTGTATTGACTGTCTGCCTTCTTTCTTACTTCTTGGGCTTGCTGAATGCCTTCTTTTTCCCACTCTGTGACGCACTATTCCACCCTTCCCAGCGCACCAAGACAACTTCCGTTTCTTTTCTTTCTTTTATGTTTACTGAGACGTGGTTTACAGGAAGCAAGTTTCACCTTTTTAGGTGTATAGTTCTTTGAGTGTTTAATTAGATATAAATGTATTTATCTCTATACATATTAAAGTATCCCCCCCCCGTACTTTTGAGGTACCAGTGGTTTTGGGTATCATCGATGAATTGTGCAGTGGGGAAGCCTGGGTAACAGGATGGAACCCTTCCAGAATTCACAGTGGCTTCAGATCATCCTGATTAATTGGTATTAATACCAATGCAAGCAGGAAAAAGGAATCCTGGCGTGGCCAAAATCCCAAGTGAGTTGCTGCCCACAACAGACGGACTCCTTTGGCGGCACAAGTGTTTCATGAATGTGCTGTGTTTATTTGGCCATTTTCTGAAAGTCTTCATCTCTCTCTTTCTCTGATAGAAGTCTGGAAGAAGGCCAGTTGAAGCTAGTGCCCGCAAAAGTGTCTGTTTTCACAGGAACCATTTGGAGATCGTTTTTTGTGCAGCTTTGCGAGTTGATTAGAGGAAAAAAGTAAAACAGTGAAGGAGGGAGGGAAGGGGGGAAATAAGGGAGAAAGGGCAAGAGAAAGTGCAAGTCAGACTGCAGGGCGCTGCACGTTCACATCCTTCCCTGGAGATTCTTGTGTTCAGCAGAGTTTCCGAACCCCTTGCTGGTCCTGTTTAAATTAGATCAATTTAATTAGATCAAGTGCTTTGGGGCATCTGTCCTGGCAGGGCCCTTAGCAGACAACAGGAACCCCAAGAGAAGAGGGCGGTGCTGCAGTTCACCTTACGATGCTGATGCTGTGATGTAAAAACAGTGGGAGAAGAGGGCCTTAGGCAGCTGTGAAATCCTCAGTTGTGCTCAGCCTTGCATGTGCTTCTCGGGACCTTCCAGTGCCCTCTCAGAGATAGCCCTAAGATCTCACTAGTGCAGCGGCCAGAAGTGAGGTTAGGGGTCAGGAAAGGTAAACCTGGAGCAGTTGTGGTAGAATTAATGAGAAAATCTCAATAATTCCACCAGAATGTCACCCACAGAATGTGACTATCCAGCCTTGGCCTGCAGATTGACCTTCCACAGCCACTTGGCTGGCTCACAGTGGCAACTGCCACCCGGCACATTGGAGCTCAGCCTGTATCCAGCCTGCCTCTGTCCTACCTCTGCACAGCACCCAAAGGGGAGTATGCCAGCTACCCCTGCCCACAATTCCATCCCCTTTACTGTCT